ACTGTTGGTATCATGACCGTGGTCTTTGTGATATTCACACCGCCTATCCCATCTCCTCGTGCCGGGAGGTTCTACCATTTTGGGTGGCCGTTTGAAGAACGGAAGGTGTTGAACTTTAGACATGACCATGTTAATTGGCTCCGATAACTCCGTATATTTCTTGTCCGCGCGCCTTATGCGCCTGGTATCCACTTGAAGTTGTTCATTAGCTCGGTGTGAACATTGGTCATTTAATCGGCGCGAATCTCGTCTTTTGTCTCGTTTAGCCTGATTCCGTGGTTTAGGACTCCGTGATGGTACATAATTTATCGGCTGAACGATTTCAGATGGGGCTGTCTTGTTGGCCTTGTGCCCAGCTTTGACCCGCAGGGCGTCATCTTCCACTTTGCAGTATTCCTCGACTTTCTTCATTAACGACCAGATTGTTTTGGAGGGCCTTCTGGTCAAGGAGCTGCGAAGGGCACTATCATGATGCAATCCCATCTTAAAGGCGGTGATGGCCATGGAGTCATTGCAGGCATCATCTACTAGATTAAAGCATTTTCAATAGCACGCCGAATACGCACGTAGGGTTTCCCCTGGTGGGATCTGCATTGCCCAGAGGGAATCGGCCTGCTTTGGCTGGACCTCATTGGTGATGAACCTTGCCCTGAAGAATTTTTGGAGTTGATGGAAGCTCTTAATCGATGCCGATTCCAATTTATAATACCATTTAACGGCTAGTGGTCCCAGACTGCTCAGAAATATTCAACACATGAGGGCCTCGTCGTCTGCATGAAGCGTCATGGCTTGCTTATAATGACGAATGTGATCAGTGGGGTTCGATTTTCCATCGTATAGAGTGAACGATGGAGCTTTGAACTTTTTGGGTAGCACTGCCCTTGCGATGCGTCACACAAAGGGGTCATGTTGATCCTCTTCGTCTGAATCATTTCTTTTTCTCTTATTCCGTGCATGCGGACTTCCTTTGGAAGAATTGGAGACTTTGACTCGTCCCTTCTTTTTAGATTCTGGGGATGATGAGTAAGAATCACTGCCACTATCATGTCTCCGAATTCGAGGTCATCGACAATCCTTTCCTAGAGGTTGTCCCAGGTCTTAGTGCGCGGCTTGTTGGGATTTTGCCACCTCCAAGGCCAAATCCTGTCAAAGGCGCTCGTTCTCAGCCATCATGTTTTCCAACCTCTATTTATTTTGCTTCGCTTGACCCATAATCGCTTGCATTGTCTCATGTGCTGATGTTGAGGGTGAGTCAAAGTTCAAGGCTCTTCGTGCGGCAATGCTCTCTAGCCCAAGCATGTTGCTTGGAGTGGTATCATCTCGTGGCGTAAGGTTGTCAGCAACTATCAGAGAATTTTTCATCACGCCTGCCATGGATGTGCTGGAGTATTCTCACAGACGGCACCAATTGTGGAGAAGTGGTTTGGAAATACTCTCTGGATCTTGTATGATGCTTTTGATCCATAGCAAGTCACCTGAAAAGGAATGGACACTTCGGTCGGGGGTGCCGGAATAAGTACTCCAACGGATAAGTTAGTATATACTCTCTTGGTTACTTATATCTTAAGTTAATCTTACTTGTTCTCCCCTACCTTTCTTTGGCTGATGCTCATCTATTTATATTTTTCTTTTGGGTCTCAAGATCGGGCCCATCCTTAATCCATTGCACGTTTATGTATTTGGACTTAGTTCGACTGGTTCCACGACCGATTAATATTTTTGGCTTTGGGATCATCTAAGATGAAGCCAAATACAAATTCCGTCCTTGACTGTCCTCATACCGTTATACGACTTTATTGCCCCCATAATATCCGGCTCCCACAACCTTGCTGATGGTATATACCCTTAATGGGCAACAATGGTTCAAATAATCTCTTCTCCCTAATGAGCAAAGAAATAACATTTTGCAATGATTCAAGAGTCGGTAAGGAAGGATGTAGAGCTGGCATTCGGAGTGCTTTAACCCCGATTTGCAATTATAGGTGGTGTTGTACGTTTTTGGGATCCAAAAATGCTTGGGAACATAATGAAGAGTTGTGTTATATTACACAATATGATTGTCAAAAATGAGAGAGATGAGCATCTTGATTTCGATTATGATATTTCATCAACCAACTCACTGAACCAAACACATCAAAATAGCTTAAATTAAGCTAAAAGCTGAAATAAGCTGGAAATAAGCCCTACCAAACAGGGCTAGTATCTTGTTGTCGAGCTCGAGATCGTCGACTAGCTGCCCTCACGGGTCGTTCCAGGCCTTGATATGGAGCTTGTTTGGATTTTGCCACCTCCAAGGCCAAATCCTGTCGAAGGCGTTTGTTCTCCGCCATCATGTTTTCCAACCTCTATTCATTTTGCTTTGCCTGATCCATAATTGCTTGCATTGTCTCATGTGTTGATGTCGAGGGTGAGGTTTGGCCAGCTGAGTCTAAGTTCAAGGCTCTTCGTGCATTAATGTTTTTTGGTCCAAGCAGGTTGCTTGGAGTGGTGTCAACATGTGGTGTAAGGTTGTCAGCGACTACTGGAGGATCTTTCGTCACGCCCGTCATGGATGTGCTGGAGTATTCCCATAGACAGCGCCAATTGTGGGGAAGTGGTTTGGAAATACTCTTTGGATCTAGTGGGACGCTCGAGATCCTCAGCTAGTCACCTGAAAAGGAATGAACACTTCGGTCGGGGGTGCCGGAATTAGCACTCCGACCGATAAGTCAGTATATACTCTCTTGGTTACTTATATCTTAAGTTAATCTTACTTGTTCTCCCCTACCTTTCTTTGGCTGATGCTCTTCTATTTATATTTTTCTTTTGGGCCTCAGGATCGGGCCCGCCCTTAATCCATTGCACGTTTATGTATTTGGACTTAGTTCGACTGGTTCCACGGCCGATTAATATTTTTGGCTTTGGGATCATCTAAGATGAAGCCAAATACAAATTCCGTCCTTGATTGTCCTCATACCGTTATACGACTTTATTGCCCCCATAATATCCGGCTCCCACAACCTTGCTGATGGTATATACCCTTAATGGGCAACACTGGTTCAAATAATCTCTTCTCCCTAATGAGCAAAGAAATAACATTTTGCAATGATGCAAGAGTCGGTAAGGAAGGATGTAGAGCTGGCATTCGGAGTGCTTTAACCCCGATTTGCAATTATAGGTGGTGTTGTACGTTTTTGGGATTCAAAAATGCTTGGGAACATAATGAAGAGTTGTGTTATATTACACAATATGATTGTCAAAAATGAGAGAGAGGAGCATCTTGATTTCGATTATGATATTTCATCAACCAACTCACCAATAGTACTTTCATGTAGTAGTAACAATGACTTCCAATCATTTATGTCTCATCATTTAGGTATTAGAGATAACAATGCATATCATGCCCTCCACAATGATTTAATAGAACATATGCGGTATCTTCACAGTGAAAACTAAATTCAACACGTGGATGCGAACATGAACTGTTTGTTATTTTTTGAAATGTGAGATGATTATGCAAGGAAAGCTGTCAGTGTTTGTTTGTTGTTAGTGGTCTTCACAATGTACACATCCGTTTTTGCTATTATTTTTGGTCCATTAACTTTGTCATTATCGAAAATAGTGTGCATTTGTTACCAATATACTGATGTCATAATTTACTGATGTTGTGTTCAGATATGATTTTGGACTACTAATTGTTATATACATCCACATATATTAAATTACAAATGAATGCAGTACATTTGAATGAATTACAATGAACAAAGCACACTGAGCAAATGAATTAAAAAAATAAATATTCCAATTAAAATATATATTAGAAATCAATTACAAATACCAATTAAAATATTGTCAAACTAAACCTCACAAAGAAAATAGAAATTCTACTGGTATAGTGAAATTAAAATATTGGTATATTTTTATAGATCATACCAATGGTAACTTTGTCAAATACTCTATAACAACAACGGTAACTTATTGGAGTTGCAGCTGCTGAATGGCAAATTTTGATAGAAATTTAAATCTATATACAATCCAACTTTTCCATGTTGCATTTTGATAGAAATTTAAATCTATATCAATGTTGAATTTATTATTAGTGCCACAGAAGTAACCAACTTTTGAAGCAGTTCGCAGGCCAAACACTTTGCAACATTTTCTGTATAAACTGGATGATCGGTAGCACAACCAGCAGGATGTTCGGCCAGTTGTCCGGTGGGACCTACTTCCAACGTAAACATAGTGAAATGGTAAAATCTGACCCAGCTCCTCAGTTTGGTAAAAGTTTTGACCCGTTTTCAATTTGATATCACTTTGATGAAACCGTTGGAGAGATAAAAGCTATCTTTTTCATCAAATTTAAATTTAATACTCAATCTGATGAACCGTTCCTTAGAGCATCTCCAACGGTGAATCAGATTTTTCACCAAATTTGAGTAAAAAATGACCCATTTTACCAAATTTGATACCACTCGCTCCAACGGTGCACTTTCATCAAATTTGTGCCGGGGACAACCGGTTGGTCGACTGGCCGGTCGACCGGTTAAGCGAATTTTTTTATTTTATTTTTGATTTTTTTTTGAACTTTTTGAACCTTTTAGTGGTCGACCGGTTAGGCAAATTTTTTTTTTTTTTTACTGTTTGAACCTTTTCTTCGAACCGTTTGAACCTTTAGGCGGTCGACCGGTTGGTCAACCGGTTGGTTGACCGGTTGGTCTCTCCCAACGGTCAGGAATAGTGATTTGGTGAAATGCTTCGCCTGTTCTCGTTTTGGTAAAAGATTTGCTGAATTCTCGATTTGATATCGATTTGGTGAAACCGTTGGAGCTCAAAAAAGTGACTTTTTCATCAAATTTTAAATTTGATACCAGGTTTGATGAACCGTTGGAGGTGGTCTTAGACAATTATTATAGTGAAATTTCACCAATTTTTCCTTATTTTATTTAAATATTATAAATAGTGTTATTTTACTTTCCCTCAAATAAATTGAAAATTCAAACTAAAACGTTTGGGCTTCGCGTGAAGAGCATTCAGCAGCCCATTTCAAATTTACAAACCGAATAGCTTTCCTGCAATCACTGTGTCACTCAACTCACTCTACATACACAACGACAGTCTCAGTAGTGTAGTCTTCTTCGGATCGCCGGCGGAGCAGAAGACGGCGACGGCGGCAGAGATGGGGCCACCAAAATCCGGCCGTTCAATTTCGCAACAAGCCTTCGACGAAATGGTGAAAGAGAACATCGATGATCTCGGCATGGATCCCTCCGATGCCCTCCAAGACGCCATCGAAACCCTAACTCTCCAAGGCGTCGATCTCTCTGGTTCCAAATCTATCTCTCTCTCTCTCACAATGCCTTCTCTTACTCGCATTAATCTCTCTCTCTCTCTCTCTACTACTTTTCAGGAATCGTCACTTGCGTTCCCGGCGAGGGCTCTGTCAAGGACAACCCTGTGATCCAGTCCTTGGATAGGCTGAAACAGTTGAATTCTGATTCGACGGATCGAATTGGAGACCAGAACGATGTCGATGAGGTGATTGTGTTGCTTGATAAGTTGGCCGATTTGTGTTCGATCGAAGGATCTGGAAACGCCGCCATCGCCATGAAAAACGGAGGGCTCGAATTGGTTTGTTCTGTCTGTTTGAAGCTTCGTGGTGGGAGCGATCGGGGTCTGGTTTCGGCATTTGAGGCAATTGCATCACTTCTTCATGGTATGTTATGTGGAGTTTGTTTGTTTATGTGAATTGTTTAGTTAGTTAGTTTCAATTGTTCTTGCGATGACAATAACAAGCTAGTCGTTTTTGAGTTAGTCATTATGATATAGGTCATGTAGATTCTGTGGATAGAAACATTGCTGTAGCTGTCATTTTGAGATCATTTGTGTCTGAACTATGTAATCTTATGTTGGCCGTGCTGAATTCGCTTGTTCTTACTCAATCCAAGAGACATTATATTGGAAATACAATAAGTAAAGGGAAAGAACAAAAATGGCAAGGACATGATCCAAGAACAAATTTAAATACCAAAAGATTCCTTTTATTTTTTTGATAGCGAGGAATCCCCCAACTCCAACTTTGATGAGACCGGGGGTTAAACTTTGCATATGTGCAACCACCTCCTGCTAGTCTTAGGTATCGGGGGCAAAGTAGAGACTTGAACCTAAGACCTCTTGGTTGTTGACCTAGGGACCTACCATTTGAGCTAACCCTCACGGGTTACAAAAAGATTACTGTGAGAGAAAAAAATAAAATAAAATAGTGATGCTGTGGAAGGTGCTTACTGTTGCTTTTAGATAATGATTATGTTTTTTCATGGGGTCAGGGATGGACCAGATCGATATTGGGAATTCTGTCCAGCGGGAACGTGTCAGGTTGGATTTAAATGATTTTTCTATAGTCAAACAAAATAAATAATTCTTTCAACTTTCCTCAATATAGGTCCATAAATTCTCACACATGTTCAATCAAAAAAATTAAAAAAACCCACATTTACATTACATGCTAAACTGCTCCGACATATAGTGGAAATTTAGAATGCCATATATATGATTATTGGAACTATGAAGCAAATAAAAGTTTAAGAATGAAAATTCATTGAGGATTCTTACTTCATTTATAATTGTATTTATTAAGTTGAGAATTCAATCTTACTATTATTATAATAGGTAAAGATTACAGTACACATCTTTAAAAGGAGAATACTTTATGCATATCTGTAACTACATCCATGTTTTAAAAGGCGCGCCTAAGCGTGAGACACACTTGAGGCACCTTAGACAGCTTGAGGGATACACCTTAAGCTTATGTGCTTTATTTAAAATTTTGCTTATGGAATCACAATCCTTTTAATATAAAATGTAAACACATGTTTTGAGCCCCAATTTTAATATAAAAAATAGCTCTAGGTATTAAGCAAAAACTCTTGGATTGCAAGATGGATTTATGGCTTTGGAATTCCTTTCAAAGTAGTAAATTACAGCAGTTTTGGGCCAATGATTGAAACTATTAGGTAATTTGGTCCCGATTTAAAATTAAAACCACTAAGATACTATATGGTGCGAGTTCTTTATCTAAAAAAACAAATGAATCACGTTAATATATTGATGAAGAAAGATAAACAGTATTGGGTAAAGTAAGGTTGAATATTATTTTCATGATTTTTGGAATATTAAATGTTCTATTTTTTTTTTTTTATTTTTAAATTCTAGAAATATTTGTTTATGTTGAAAACTTTGTCTATATTAATATTTTGGTTATCTTCAATAACATGCGTCTCGCTTTGGTGAGGCGTGCGTCTCACGTGCACCTCACACTTAAGCTCCAGGAGACCTTAGCGCCTCAATTTGCCTGGAGCTTTTTAAAATACTAAACTACATCACAATGATTAATAACTGCTATCACAAAAAATCGTAAGATAAGATACCTCAAAAATTCATAACTTTGTTAACCACAAAATCTCATAACAAAAAATAATAATATTCATAACAAAATTACAAAACATCATAACTATAACAGCCCTATAGTTCTAATGGAGAGAAGAACCTATGATTAGCTTTTCAGGAAATTTCCAAATGAACAATTTCAATGAAATCTTTCAACTTCAGACTTTTTATATGATACACAATTTTGTAACTATACTGTCCGTAACTAACACTGCAATGCTTCATAATTTTTTGTATGATACACAGATGTATGCCATATGTTCTCTCATTTCAATATGTTACAATAAAATAATGGTTGTTCATTATTTATATATAATTTGAATATTGCACCTGGGATGAGAGGAAACTATCAAAGGGGAGAGCTAGAGAATATTAAGGATATAGGCATAGGCAGCGGGCCAGATAGGAGGATGGTGTTTACTTGCTGCAGCATATTGCCGCATCTGAAGAGATATCTCATGCGGCAAGGCTGCCACAGCCCCCCTTGGTCTCTACATGATTCCATCCCAGCTTGGGGCGTTGAGCAAGTGTTAATTTAGTGATTGTATAAGACGAGAAAATGTTATAGAGTGACAATCATAGAGCTTGGTTACTAACACTGCATGCGATCAAACACTGTAGTTTTTGACATGATATTTTTGCATAAAATACAAAGCTTTCTAATGTAATAGGACTATGATATATGCAAGGCCATTCTGTATTAATATGTGAAGATGCAATAATTTCTTTCTTTTCTCTTTTGTGTTTATGGCTCTCCATCATTATATTTGCATTGGTAGAACTAAGTGTCCAGACTTGGGAAACGGTGAGTTTTCTGTTTTATGTGTTGTCTGATGTGTGCAACTTTCTCATATGCAGATGTTCAAAGTAGTGAAACATTTCAAAAGAATGGTGGACCAAAGATGGTGATGGGTATCCTAAATGATGGCACTCAAAATTTGAAAATCCTGAATGGTGGTTTTTCTGTTGTTGCTGCTGCTGCAACTGGTAATGAGATTGTCAAGGAATCATTCATGGACTTGAAAATTGATGAGCTTATGATCCAAATTTTGAGGACACATGGTAAAGGGTGCATCCATAGTATATATGATGCTATACAAGCCTTGCTTACACCTGATGATAATCGTGTTGTGGCATCCCAAGTAAGTAACATCTTACGATTCATGGACAATGTTAATAACTTGTGCACTGCCATTGTTTCAAATTCGAGTTCTTACACTGTTTAAGATTTGGAGTGAGAAATTAATTGGTTAGTAACTGAATAGTGTTCCAATGTGCATAAACTGTAGGTCTATGGTTATGCTCGAAGATTTGCAAAAATTGGAATTGCAGAAGCTCTTGTGGACTTGCTTAAAGAAGGGCTCAGTTCGCCATGTCTAGTATCAGCAACCATGACTTTAAAGGCTGTTGCTGTTAATGTAAGCTTCTTCCTGTCTAATGAGATATTTAAGCTTGAGCACATTTATTTCATCAAATCTGTGTTTCATTTGATTTGACGTTTTCACTGTAGCTTTTAATTTGCTTTAATCTCAAATTCCGTTGTTGCCTGCACAACTATTTGGAGAAGGTTTATTATAGTTTCTTAGATGTTCATAAAAAATATAGAATAACTGCCGGAAGCTATTGGTTTGTTATAGTTTCACTGAAATTTCGGACATCTATACTTGTTAAAAAAAAGAGGTTAATTTTCAGAGTAGAATTAATAATGTCAGAGACAAGAGAAAGACATTCTTAAATTTTCGTATACCAGATTTACATTGGCTTACCTGTTCTTGTTTATTGACTTATGGGCTGCTTCTTATTGCAGGACGAAATATGTAGATCTATTGCTGCAAGTGGGGGTGTAGATGCAGTTCTCCGATGTATTGGTGACAGCGGTGAGCAGGGCAATAAAATAGTGGCTCGAGCTGCTTGTTCTTTATTGTCCAAGGTTCTAAAACAAATCTCTCATTTTATTTATTAAAATTCAAACACATACAAGTACATGTGGACAAACCCCATAGTTTTAATAATAGAATTTTCCATATTTCCAAGATAAAATCTCATGGCATGCTTTGGCGGTACAAAAATCTGGCATAGAAATTCGCAGTTTATTGAAGAGGAAAAACTGACAATAAAATGTTTATTGTTCTTTGATGTTCTATTTGATTACTTAGATGTCAGCGGTAGAGAAGAGAAAAATTTGAATCTCCTGTAATCTCAATTTCAACAACTGCAAGATTCTTAATTTACACTAATTTCCTCAAAACTTCATTGGAATACGAATCAAATGGAGTCATAGTGAAATTTCTCTCGTGTATAAATCTTCTTATATGTTATTATTATTATTATTATTTATTTTTGTTGATAAATTAGCAAATTTATTAGAATTCTTATATGTTATTGTTCACAGGCACATTATACAATTCATAGTTAATATCTATCTGCTTAGGATGGGTGGGCGATTGTATAATAGCTACCTTTAACGCCATATATAAGTACATGCTGAAATCCATGGATTGTTTTTTTAGGGTATTCTGAATACAACATTTCACACTTTTTTCAGAGATCTACCTTGAACTATATTGATTATTAAAACTTAGTTGCGAATTGCAACCACTTGGATTCTGCACAGTGCTTATTACTTCTCATCATTATTGTTTCTTGTAGCATTAAAGCTTACCTGAAATGTTGTACTTGATTAGTTGGCAGGAAGTGATACAAATAAGAGTGCTATTATTGAAAAAGGAGGGATGGATAGGATAATCAAACTCTCGGCCAGATTTTTTGATGATCCATCTGTTTTACAAGAGGTAGGAAGAAGTTTAATGCAAATGATCTTGTATCAAGTACGATCCATATGATGAAATTGTTCTTGATCACCACTATAAAGGATATTACAATTTGAATATATTGGTGATGTTTGTGTATGTCTGTGTCAATCAATCAGATAGATTGCTTGAAATAATGTCAGTGACAATTTTCTGGCCGAGTTTGGTATGTGTGGTCATCAATCTGATTATATGGATCAGATTAGTTATCTATATGCTTTTAACAAAAGGTACTTCTGGTGGTTAATTGCTTTTGTTGTGGCATAGGTTATGTCTGTTATATGTGTGCTCTCTTTGAGATCCCCAGACAACGCAACTCGTGCCATTGAAGCTGGAGCTGGAGATCTTGCTATCCAAGCCATGCAGAGGCATCCCGGAGCTCATCAAATGCAGAAGAGTGCTTGTATGATGATCCGGAATCTTGTGGCTAGGAATCCAGAAAACAGGCAAGACTGCTTATGCATGATCCGTCCCCACTCCCTCTTGTTATATGAAGTCCTATGCATTTTTGCCTTTTGTCTGTACATTGTTGTCAAATCATGGATCAAATTTTAAATTGTTTTACTAAAATAGTGAATCGTAACATTCACTTAATTTAATTATATATGTTTATATCTTCAAAAATACAATGTTCACAGTGAAATAAAATATCAATGTAACTAAATTATATATATGCTCTTTGTAGACTAGAGAGTAGTCACTCCCTTACTGTAACTAATTGATCTCTTTTTTATTTGCTGATAGAGGCAAAAGCAACATCGTTTCATGTATTGTGCAAACAAAACAAAAACAGACTGAATTGCAAATTAAATTGCTCCTAATTTTTGATTTAACTGCATGATTCAAATTGTTTCACTTGAAACTCGTATGAATTGAATTGTGAATCGTACGATTCCAGCAACCATGGTCTGGCATATCTTGTAGAGATCTAACAAGTAGAAAATATCTCTGATGATATCCTTGTATCTTTGAAAGCACTTCTTTATTTTATTTTTGTTCCACAGAACTCTTTTGCTTAATAATGGTATTGAGAAGATCATAAGGAAGGCCAAGGAAAACCACACAAGCTGCAAGGACGCTGCTACTGATGCGCTCAGAGATCTGGGGCTTGATAACTACAACTTATAGTTCACACTCCTCTTTCCATTCACTACTTTTTGCAATGCTGTTTCTTGTGTATCGATGTAACTTTTTGTGTTATACAACAAAATTTATCTACTTTTTTTAATGCTGTTTCTTGTGTATCGATGTAACTTTTTGTGTTATACAACAAAATTTATCTACTTTTTTTATTTTTTCTCTTTCTGCGTCATACATTTGTGTGATCTCCCTGTACGTGGTAAAGAAGCTTTTATTTTATTTATTATTATTAATATTATTATTTTCTTTTTTTAGAAGATAGCGGTTAGTGTAAAAAAATACATTAGAAGCCATGTATTTTGGGCTTGTGCATGAAATGTGCCTTCTGGGTCACACTAAGATTCGGAGGGCAGGACACAAACTAAAAAGATAGAACCCTAGGAAAATTATCTAGTTGTTAGAAACCATTGTCATAACTTCATTGTCGACCATTCATGATTACGCATATAAAAAATATGAAATTGAAATCTCATCTTACCTGGGTTCACCCATAAGCGTAGTTAATTGATGCTCCGAGTACAATACTTAATGCTTGAGAGGGGAAAACCCATAAGCGTAGTTAATTGGTGCTCCATGTACAATACTTAATGCTTGAGAGGGGAAAATCCAATGAGCAGAATGGGCCGAACTATGTATGTGCTCGGTCAAGAAGTGTGGATGTGTGCAATTGAGGGGAATTTACACTGAACAAGAGACCAGACTACATGTGGAATGGGCCGACCTAGGTATAGACTGAGCAATATTTGGCCAAACTGCGGTTGACCGGTTGGACAACTCGGAGCCGAGTCGATTGATGGAAGTTGGTAAACGGCCTTGTGTCGGGTTATAGGTAGCACGACAGGAGTCGTTACGTGGCCCAATTGGAGTGTGAGAAGGAAAACCTGCCAGTAGTTATGCGTCAATACCGTTTGGCGGTTTGGCCAAATGTTGTTTGGCAGTATTGACGCGTACACGTGTAAGGAATGGAGAGGGCAGTATAACCACGCGTCTAGAAAAGGATAAGCCGAGTGGTGTGCGCATGAGCTATTTAAATTGTGCGGCATCTCCATACAGCAGGTCTAAATTTCTTGTTACCCAGAGCTCTATTTCTCTCTTTTGTCTTCCCTCTCTTTCTTTCTCTACAAGGGTGCTAACTTGACCGTCAGAGAGGTTTTCCGGCAACCACCCGTTGGATAGCTCACCGTCGTCGTGTTCTCAGGTTGAATGGTGTCATTGGGAGCAACGAAGAGCTTGGACAATCAAGAGTACGAAAGCAAGATAATATTTGTTCCCCGCATAATTGGCATTGTTTGTGGGAATCCAACAGACAAAACCTTATCCTCTAAGCTTTTCCGATCATCTTTTATGGCGAACAAGACGACATCTCGCTGTCTGCTATCGACAGCATCATGTCGGAGTCTGTTTGGCACAGAGATGGCCTGCCCGTCATTCTGACGATGGCTGGTTTGGAGACCTCCGCGCGAGGAGTTCCCAGAGATGCGTAAGGCAAGCACACAAGAAGTTCTGGGCGTTCGCTTTGTTAGCCCAGAAGAGCGTCGCCGACAGCGAGACTCACAGACTCAGCATCTGGAAGACAAGTTGAGAGACCAAGATACCATCATCAAGAAGATAACGATGGAGATGGAGGCCATAAAACGCCAAATGAAGGGAAAGGGTGTCGCTGGAATGGGGAACCACAGTGAGCACGCCCATTCTCGTTGTTTTGGCAGTTAGAATAGACGCCGCACCCCTTCACTCTTCGTCACGAGAAGCTTCAGAGCTGGAGACTATATCGCGCCGGTGGCGACATCTCGTACGCAGGACAGCAGTTACCACCTCTCGTGTCCGACGACGGTGTCGAGATATTCATGCTTCGATCGTTTGAAAGACTTGAGGAATGTGTTAGAGGAGCGCTCTTGCCAACAGGAAGCATAGAGGGTGGTTGCACTGCAGCGACTGGCCTCTAGAGGGCGAGCTAGTGAAGAGGTCGTCATGCCACCACTACGCTTGGCGGCACACGCTTCACCTGACAGAGAGTTGGCAAGATTGAGCGCCACCCCTTTTTCCTTAGAGATTGAGAGCGCACCACTTCGTCCCGGGTTTCATTAGCCAAAGTTCACGCTCTATGATGAAAAGACCGATCCATACATGCACGTAAGCCATTTTCGGCGAGTTATGGCTGGGCACAGGCGAAACGATGCACTTATGCGCCTTATTTTTCTATCGAGTTTGGGCGAGTTGGGCCTGAAATGGTTTGAGAGGCTGCCGGAGGAAAGTATCGAGAGGTGACAGCAATTGACGGAGGCATTCGTGACATGATTTAAGACCAACACCAAAACACCCAAAGAAGTCAGCTACCTTTTGGGAATCAAGATGGAAACAAATGACTCCTTGAAGGCGTACAACGTCAAGTATTGGTCAACGAACTTCTCGATTGCCCGACGAATCAAGCAACCACTCAATACAAGCGCGGTCTTCCAGTCAGACATAGACTTAGAGACTCGCTTAGCATGAACCAACCGACGACCATGGAGTTGCTTATGCAACGCATCAACGAACACATCCGAGTTGAGGGTGATGCGGCCGCAGCTACCGTCAAGGCAAATCCAATAATGGCAGACAAAAGAGTTGCGGGAAAAGTCAATGCAGTCGAACAAGAGGATGGCTGTGCAAACAACCATGGGAGAGATCTAGGGAGTTCGGTTTTGGAAGACCTCAATAAGAAGGCCGAGGAAAAAGGGCATAAAACTCGCAAAATATAAATAGCCGATCTATTTCCAGAATGTCGAACTCTGCCAATCTAAAGTTTTGTTCTTAGTTCTATTCTTGTAACCCTTCTTGGTATTTGTGTAATGAAACAAGTAGACAATATTCTTGAAAATTGTTGTATTTCTGCCTTGCCAAGCTGATTTAGCGTGGTCCAAGGAGCAACTGACAATCATTTTGACAGAAAGATCAGAATTCCTTGTCAGGCTGATTTTGCTAGGCAAGATGAAAGTTGGTGTTTTGTTCAACTTTGAAATTCCTTGTCGGGCGGATTTTGCTCGGCAAGAGGATTGTTTATGGTTTTGATCAACTTTAGAATTCCTTGCCGAGATGATTTTACTTGCCAAGAAGTTTTGCCGAGTTGATTTTGCTCACTGAGATGTAAGTTGTCGAGCTAATTTTGCTCGCCAACTTTGAAGTTCCTTGCCGAGTTGATTTTGCTTGCCAATTTTGAAATTCCTTGCTGAGTTGATTTTGCTCGCCAAGAAATAAGTTGTTGAGCTGACCTTGCTTACCAACCTTGGAGTTTCTTACCGAGCTGATTTTGCTCGCCAAGAAAGCAAGTTGCCAAGCTGACCTTGCTCGCTAACTTTGGAATTCATTGCCGAGCTGATTTTGCTCTCCAGGAAGCAAGTTGCCGAGTTGACTTTGCTCGCCAACTTTGGAGTTTCTTGCCGAGATGATTTTGTTCGCCAAGAAGCAAGTGCCGAGCTAGCCTTGCTCGTCAACCTTGGAGTTCCTTGCCGAGATGATGTTGCTCGCCAAGAAAGCAAGTTGCCGAGCTGACTTTGCTCGCCAACTTTGGAATTCCTTGCCGAGCTAATTTTGCTCGCCAAGAAGCAAGTTGCTGAGCTGACTTTGCTTGCCAACTTTGGAGTTCCTTGTCGAGCTGATTTCGTTCGCCAAGAAACAAGTGCCGAGCTGGCCTTGCTCGCCAACTTTGGAGTTCCTTGCCGAGATGATTTTGCTCGCCAAGAAGCAAGTGGCCGAGCTGACCTTGCTTGCCGACCTTGAAGTCCCTTGCCGAGCTCATTTTGCTTTCTAAGAAGCAAGTCGCCAAGCTGATTTTGGTCGCCGACTTTAGAGTCCTTGTCGAGCTGATTTTGCTCGCTAAGAAGCAAGTTGTTGAGCTGACCTTGCTCGCCAACCTTGGAGTTTCTTACTGAGCTAATTTTGCTTGCCAGGAAACAAGTGGCCGAGCTGACCTTGAAGTTCATTGCCTAGTTGATTTTGCTTACCAAGAAGCAAGTCGTCGAGCTAACCTTGTTTTCCCACTTTGGAGTTCCTTGCCGAGTTGATTTTGCTCGCCAAGAAGTAAGTTGCCAAGCTGACCTTTGCTCGTCGACCTTGAAGTTCCTTGCCGAGCTGATTTTGCTCGCCAAGAAGTAAGTTGCCAAGCTGACCTTTGCTCGTCGACCTTGAAGTTCCTTGCCGAGTTGATTTTGCTCTCCAAGAAGCAAGTCGCCGAACTGACCTTGCTCGCCAACCTTGGGGTTCCTTGTCGAGCTGATTTTGCTCAACGAGATGCAAGTTGTTGAGTTAACCTTGCTCACCAACTTTGAAGTTTCTTGCCGAGCTGATTTTTGCTCGCCAAGAAGCAAGTAGCCGAGCTGACCTTACTCACCAACTTTGGAGTTCTTTCCTGAGTTGATTTTGCTCGCCAAGAAGCAAGTTGTCGAGCTGACCTTGCTTGCCGACCTTGAAGTTCCTTATCGAGCTGATTTTGCTCGCCAAGAAGCAAGTCGCCATGCTGACCTTACTTGCCCACTTTGGAGTTCCTTGCCGAGCTGATTTTTGCTCGTCAAGAAGCAAGTGGCCAAGCTGACCTTGCTCGCCAACTTTAGAGTTTCTTGCCGAGTTGATTTTGCTCGCCAAGAAGCAAGTTGCTGAGCTGACCTTTGCATGCTGACCTTGAAGTTCCTTGCTGTGCTGAGCTGATTTTGCTTACCAAGAAGCAAGTCGCCGAGCTGACCTTGCTCACCAACCTTGGAGTTCCTTGTCGAGCTGATTTTGCTCACCAAGATGCAAATTGTCGAGTTGACCTTGCTCGTTAACTTTGGAGTTTCTTGCTGAGCTGATTTTGCTTACCAAGAAGCAAGTCGCTGAACTGACTTTGCCATTGTTGAGCTGATTTTGCTCATTAACTTTGAAGTTCCTTGCCGAGCTGATTTTGCTCGCCAAGGAAGTTGTCAAGCTGATTTTGCTCCTCGAGAAGTAAATCGCCGAGCTAAGCTGGTTAAGTGGTTAACATGAAAATCAAAGAACATTTTGAAAATTTTGAGCTATCATGAAGCTTGATGACAAACCGTACTGAAATGAAGATTGTACAAGAATAAAATAATC